AATACGAAGACTTTTTTGGGGAAGGGGGCCCATGGGGAAACTAGGTCCCTGATCCGTTTCCCTTGTCCCTTAAGCCTAGCCCTTCAGCATGCTCTCCTCTCCTACCCAGGCATACTCTCCAAAATCACCTTCGAATGCTGTGATCCCAGAAACCAAGGCAAACAGGGGCCTTGTCTTTAAAAACAAAACAAAAAAATAAAATACAACACAATACAGGAAATGATCAGTGTCTTAATTTTCCCCTAAAGTTCCACAATCAGATTATAACCCTATCTTTTTTTTTTTTTTTAAGGTATCAGGTGTTGAACTCAGGGGCAGTTGACCACTGAGCCACATCCCCAGCCCCATTTTGTATTTTAGATATAGGGTCTCACTGAGTTGCTTAGTGCCTAGCTTTTGCTGAGGCTGGCTTTGAACTCGCGATCCTCCTGCCTCAGCCTCCCGATCCGCTGGGATTACAGGTGTTCGCCATTGCATCTGGCTCACAACCCTATCTTATCCTGTTGTGAACATCTTCTCAAGGCGGAAAGACAAGCAAGGCAAGCCAAAAGAGCAGCAGATCTGAGACAGAGAGATGTGACCTTAAAAATGGATGCTTTTGCTTTGTAATAGGACCACGAATGGCCAGCTTGCTTCACGTTCCATGGGAAGTTGTTTTCATCTGAGTTGCAAATAAAATCAAGCAGCCTCATATGGTGATTAAATGGAACTTTCTTACCGTTTTATGAATGTTGCAGCCTAGATTTATAGGACAGACCTCCTTCTTCAAAGCTATGAGGCTCTCCTAAGATCTCATAGCTGCAGAATAACAACCCAGCAATGTGGCCCAGGGCCAGGTGAGTTGCTACACCCCCAGGACACTAGGGATGTAAGAAATCTGGGCTCCTTTTCCCAAAAAGGCCAGAGTCTGTTCTTCGTTTGTTCAGCTCAACAGTCTCTGCAGGGAATTTCGCTGGGACAGCAGCACAAGACACTGGCATAAAACTCTAAGACGCGTGAGCAGTTATTTTAAGGCTGATGTCTCTTGAGCACTCTATGCCCAGACAAATTTAAAAATAAGCAGGTTTCCAATGTCTAAGGATGGGCCAATCTCTGAGGTTATTGAGCAAAGAGTCAACACGCTAAAGTCAATTACACTATTGACAGATACTCTTACAAGGAGATTTCACATCATAATTATATGCAAAGGAACCCAGCAAATACAAGCTGTGTAATGATCAGCTAATAAAAGTAACACTTCATCTATGTCAATAACAGTTTCAGAGTTAAGACAAACAAACATGGCCTTTGCCACTCAGCAGAGGGGGGGGTGGGGAATTCCCTGAAAGACAAATATTTTCACTTAAGGAGAAGTGCTCAGCCTCACACGGAAAACCTATCACACAGAGGAGAAGAGGAAATTGGTCTTTAGTGGGTGCTAATGACTCTCCGCCCTCCCTGGGCCCCAGCTGTTGGCCTGGGGCAGCAGTCCCTGTAAACACTGGGACCCCGCAGGCTGGAATCCCTAGGTACACAACGCCATGGGCCAGGCAGACGTTGGTCTGTGTTGTTTCCCCCCTTCACATTCCTCTCAACCTCACGTTTGACTGACATGTGGCCAAATTCAAAAATTTAAAAATTACAATGGGCGTGAAAAAGCAAAACACGATTTCCCGGCCAATCACCTGTCAGTGGGATTTACAAAAAAAAATTTGCTGGTTCTGCAAATGTGCACATGGCTGGGTTTATGTTCATTTTCCTGAAAGCATCTCAGTACCTACTTTTCGCCTTATAAAAAGAGGGCCAAGATACCACAAGCAAGTGTCTCCAATCTTATAGCACTTTCTACCCTCTCCCCATAATTTCCCTTAAAACTAAGGGGCAGAGGTGGAACTGACAATGTACCGCTCATGACGTATGGCTTTCTTTACTAGTTATCTCTATTTACGGAAATGGAAACTTGTTTTCTTTTCTTTCTTCTTCTTCTTTTTTTTTTTTTTTTTTGCAAACTGTGGTTGCATATTTTACCAAAATGAGTTTGCTCAAAACTCCTATGATGCTCAGGAAGGTCACCCTTTTAATTAGACTATGAATGCTTCCAAGACTGACACTAAGCAAACTGTGCCATTACAAGGCTACTGTCATCAGCCTCAAACTCACCCTTCTACAGTGATTCAAAGTCTTGGGTTGGGGCTGGGGCAGGGCTGGGCCTGGTGCTGGGCTGTGCAAGCCACACTTTGCTTGACCATCAGCTTCCGCCAACAGGGGGAGCCCTGGAGACTGCAGAGGTGATAGAGGAGAAGGGACAGGCTCTGGCCTCTGTTTCCTGCTCCTGTCTCTGCACCTCAACAGCAGCAGTCCCTTCCTGTAGTGGGCCGGGGAATCCAGTGCACAGTTTTCCCAATGTTTGCAGAACCCTATTCCCTCTGAGGCGGGCACAGGTGTGCACCCACTCCTCAGAGGCTGGGAGCCCAGACCTCATGTCCCAGACGCCATCCTCTGGGCAGGAGCCTAAGCGTCAGCTCCATGGGGCCACCATTTCCAGCTTGTCCCAAATGTTCCCTCGGCCTGATACGGAGCCTGCTCCCGCCGCCCCCCTGCCCCGTGAGACTTTGGGTTCGCTTTTTATATCCTTTTGGTTACCTGGTTAATAACTTTCTGTCTAGGTAATGGTTCTTTATCTTAGAGGCTCTCTGTTCAAACACCTGGTGTGATTGCTGTCTCCTAACTGAACTCAGCTGACACACAGGTCCAGTCCCAGAAGCTATTTTCTGGACTTTCTCTGGAAGAGACTAACTGCAGTGCTCACAGATGGGATGAGCGGCAGCTTTTTGTCTTCGCCCCTGGAACTGGGATTGAACCTAGGGCCTTGAGTACTGTCATGCATTCTACCACTGAGCTACATTCCTCGGTCCTTTTTATGTTGAAATGGAGTCTTGCTAAGTTGCTCAGGCTGGCCCTGAACTTGTGATCCTCTGGCCTGGGCTTCCCTGGCAGCTGGGCTTACAGGTGTGAACACCACACCTGGTCGAGAGACAGCTCTTTGAACAGAGACAAGACATCATTGTTTGGCTGCAGAGTTTATTCCCAAGAGAACATGACAAGGGGGAAAACCATCAGTATTTAAAATAATACCTCTAGAGGGGACTAATCAGTAAAATTTGCAATAATATATACCATTAGGTTAATAATTAAAATTAGGAGACAGGGTCAGCTGAAGGCTACCCTGGGGTCCGCTGGGCTTCCCTGTGCTCTTCTAGAAGGAATGGCTGACTCACAGAGAAAGCTATTCTTGAAGGCACTCAAAGAAGGGTGAAGACCATATATGAGAACCTGCTAATGGAAATACATTGTTGCTTCACGCAAAAAATAGCCTACAGTCTCAAAGTCTTCTCAGCCAAAATGGTAAGCTAGGAGGTGAGACGGGAAAGGTTTTAAGAATGGAAAGCAGAACAAGTGGCTTTCACAGTGCAAGGCAAGGCCATTTTGGCTTTCCTGGAAGAAGATCATCACTTCAGAGCTCAAGACGCATTAATGATCTAAGGGGAACCAGGAAGGACTGCAGAGAAGCATAAGAAGAAGCGCCACAGCATGTAATTTTAGAAGGCACCTCCCTGTCAGGTTAGTCGGAGTGACATATGCTTTTTATGATCTCTCACCATTCTAATTCCTACCAAAATCTGGCATTATCGGGTCCCAGATAACCAGAGTCGGCCCTAAAGATTAAGCAACATCCCTCCTGGTAAAAGCAAGCTGGTTGGCTGCAAAAGTTCAAAGACACAGTTTATGGAGAATCTCTACCTGGTTGACCTGTGCAAGCCAAATTTGACCATGCTTTCCCTCAGGCCCAGTTAAACAGATTCCGGGACAGTTTCCTTAGGGACAGACAATACCACGAGAGTAAAATGGCCTCAGGTGCAAGCCTGATCCATAAATCAAACAAAAGGAAAGGGCTGCTGCTGGGGGGTGGGGGGGGTGGGTGGCTCTCAGACAGACAGGCCTTCTAGAGGGGTCGTCTGCACCAGCAATGAGTAACTGGCCATCAGTCAACTGAGCGAGACCTACTCCCCATCCCCAGCAAGCAAACCACTGAGAACAGAAAGGCACACACTGAAAAATTACTAATAGACAGGGTCACACACCAAATGGTCACAACCCAAGCATGGGGTCAACGGGAAAAGCGAAATCTGTCCCAAGCTGGGTGGCCACTTTCAGAAAAGTGTCACCAAGGAGTCACATGGAGGCTGGGGGAAATCTGTACAGAAATTCTGGGCAAATTCCACAGACATTCGATGAGCACATTTGGTTCAGACAGAAGGGAAGACTGGGGGATGTCAAGGTGAAGTGGGAATCGTGGAGGTGCTTCTGCAGACAGCTGGTCTCAGGAACGGGCAGGATAAACAGGAAGAGGCCACCACACTGCTGCACAAGAGGGTCTAAGCTAGCAGTGGACCTTCATCAGGACTGTCAGTGGGGATGAGGAGGACACAGGAATGGAATCCCCCAAGGAGACTGGCTTGGCATGTGGTTTGGCAACTGACCTGATTCTTGGAAACAGGGAGAAGAGGCCACTTGCTATTTATAGACCACTTACCAAAGCGCATTTCACATGTGATTTCTGCATTTGAGTTTCACAGCAACCACTGCCTAGAGGTGAGGAGGGTGGGGGATGAGGGAACTGAGTCCCCGTAGAGTCGGACACCAGCCCAGAGCCAGACAGGGAAGCTAGGGGGCTAGGTCCAGAGTTAGCTCCATCAGCCTGGAATCTAATGAATACCCCACCCCGTGTAACCTGTCTGCATCGTCTCATCTGCACCGAAACCAGGATCATCTGACGCCCAAGAAGGAGAGCCTGGCATTTGGACAGGAGCATTGGAGGTGACCTTGACTTTGTTGAACATTCCAACTAGGTTTGTCTCCACTCGCTAGAGGTTGGTCCTCTGCATCCTCTGTGGGGGTCCCATGGGGTGACGCCCTCCCCTCTCCGCAGGCCGGCCCTGGTCGGTGAGCTCCTCCCTTACCTCATGGCTGCCGTCATTCCAATGGGAGTGATTGGCAATGGCCGGACGCCAGGAAACAGCCCTCGGCTCAGAACCCGCGTTCCATTTTGTATCACTCCTGGAGAAACTGTAAAAGCAAAAGGAGAAAGACAACACGTGAATCCCACTGTGAAGATATTGTTTTAAGTCAGAAATTCTGGATATGAGGAGAGAGAGAGAGAGAGAGAGAGAGAGAGAGAGAGAGAGAGAGAGAGAGAGAGAGAGAGAGAGAGAGAGAGAGAAACATATACTGGAAGAACAAGACCGCAGGCTACAAAGCTAACTTGGTGGGTAACTAAGTCAGACCAACAGCTTACAAACAAATTATTGCTGCCTAGGTTAAAAAAAAAAAAGTGAGTTTTTAAAAAGTGGGCTTCAAACATCATTTTCTTGCACTTGTAAAATGTAACCGCTTATCTCTGGTCAGACCCTAAGGTCATCTCAAAAAACACAGCAGGATAGGAGGTGACCGGACAAAGGCATTTCCTCATGCTTCTCTGGTCATGGCCAGCAGTTGGGACCACCTTCCTATTTGTCCTTCATCAACAAGGCAAAGGTACAGCCCAGAATAACAGCAGAGGACCTCCCAAGCACTGGCAGCCCAGCCCACCCTCACAATGACCTTGTCATTAGAGGAAAGACCCCTCCTAAGAGTGGATGGGAGGGAAGGGTCCCTGCAGGCTCTGTCTGAGTCACACACAGATCGCTGTGGAGGACCCCACTTCCTCCTTCCCCAAAGCCCTGAGTCTCCTGAGAGTTTCCTCAGCACCCGCCTTCTTTTAAACCTGGAGCAACAGGTTTAACCCTAACGGAAGCCAATTCACCAGCGACCTTCAGACCCTGTCAGTTTTCCACACATATTCAGTGTCCTTCCCACCAATCTGATTTTGCCTGGGATATACATAACAGGGGAACTTCAGGGACAGCTGACCTTTTTTGACCTCCCTAACAGCCATTTCATCTGGCCCCTCTTCTGTCTCCTCTGACATCTACTAACAACCTTCTGTGAGTCTGTGGGGCCAAGGAAGAACTGCTGCGGGAGAGCACTGCTGGGTTTTCATTTTAGATTTTTCCCCCTGGGGGTTGGACCCAGGGGCCTTTTGCCACAGAGCTCCGTCTCCAGTCTTTTTCATTTTTTAAATCTTGAGACAGGGTCTGGCTAAGTTGCTTAGGGCCTCACAAAGCTGCTGAGGATGAGATTACAGGTGTGTGCCACTGTGTCTGGCGCTTAGTTCTTCTTGTGTGACTTTGTCCAACTCCTTGAATTTGTTTCCTTCTCCAAACAGTGTTCTCCCAAGGCCCCTTCTGCCCCCGGGGCTCCTGGCACAGTATCATACACAAGCAAGTGCTTTTACAGACTATTGAAAAGACTAGGAAATTATACATTCAAAAGTGAGAATCAGTCTGGATGTTCAGTTTTTAAAGCCAGCATATCTGTGTACAAATGAATACTTTTTAATAAAACAAATGACCTCTATGGATGTTTTACTTACGTAATGTTTAGTTCTCTACGAATGTTACCAGAAATATTCCAAAGTTTTAAAGGTCCTTTATGTAAGGTGAATGCTCACTCTTGAATACACGATAATCGTATAGACTGCTTATTTCTTGCGCCTTTTGTACTTTTTGTGAATAATTTTTGCCATTTGTCTTCCAGGTTTGTGGAAGGTCTTACAGAAGGCAAGATGGGAAACAAAACTGAAATTCTTGCCTAAGTCAAGACTATCAATCAAGTCCACGTAGGCTCCAGAATGTCCCCAGTGTCTTTCCGTAACTAACTGTGAAAGCAGGTGGAACCAGACCAGGAACTCGCACCATCTCAGTGAGCAGCCTCATTTCAGATGACAGATGAGGTCACCCAGGGCAGGAAGACTTAAAGCACAGAGCTGCTACAACATGGTGTATAGCTAGTTCTATCTGGCTTAGTCGACAAGTTCTCTGGTAAGAAAGAATGTCTAAAATTTATATTATCTGATTTCAAGACTTTCTATGAAATTACAGGAAACGAAACCATGTAGTGTTAAAAGAAGTACAGAATACAGACCAAGAGAACCAAACGGAATCCAGAGATAGACCCACACATGTGTGCTCAACTGATTTTGGACAAAGGTATGGAAATGACACAGCAGGGTAAAGGAGAGAGTTAAAACAACCGGAACCGGGAGATCCATTCGGAAAAAACTAACCTTGACCCTCATCTCATAACACATATGAAAAGCTAATTAGAATGGATCATAGAGTTAAACACGAGAACTACAAAACTTCTAGAAGGAAATATAGGAGGAAAATATCCATAATTCTCAAAGACAGACCGATACAGAAGGCTGGGAGAACTCCAGGGTTTGTAGGTAAGGCCTTCAGTTTACAAAAGATAGGATTTTTGTTTGCCTGTCTTGGGAACTGTGGGAGGGTTTCAATTATTTTGCTGTATAGTACTCCCTAGAAATGCTCAGATAGCCATGGGTTGCATAATTCTGCCATATCTGTCACTAGGGATCTTGTGCAGAGAAGCAAATGAACTGGATACAATGAAATCCCAGTGGGGTAGGTTCTAGGGAATTGGGCCTGGAGATACCCAACCCAAACTGAGGAGTATCTGGGAAGACGTTCTGCAGGAAGTGCCATCTACACTGGAATTCCAAGGCAAAGAAGCAGTTCATATAAAGGCCTAAAAATGATTTAAAAATGCTCCAGGTGCACAAGGAACTAAGTTATTCTGCTACAATATATAATCCTAGAAGGAAAGAGATGCATTTGAATTTTATCCCGTGGGTACTGCGAAAACCACTTAATGGTTTGGAGCAGGAAAGTGGCTGAGAGCCAGACCCTGGTGTCAAGCCAACCTGAGTCTGCGTCCCATCACACTGCCATGGTCCTCTGAGAAAGCTACGTTGACTCTTCAAGTAAGCAGGGAGACAAAAAGTAGTATTTACCTTTCAGGGTATTGGGGAGCTGAACTGAGTTAATAAAAGGCACTTGTGTTTAGAAAACGCATGTCAGCTACCATGACACCATCATCATTGCTAACACCATCACCATCCTCAAGGGGGTCCTGAGGTCCTGTGCTTTCTGCATTTCGCGGGAGCTGAAAACCCACAAAAGTGGAATGAGACAAAAGCCAGACCAAGGTGCAAGAGCCCAGCTGTCTTCCTGGTGACAGAGTGGCTGGAAGAGCAACAACCATTGTTGTGATGCTCCTGTCCCCCTGGTTTGTGTTATGTCAGAGTCACCTCTGCCGTGCAAACACTCCAAGCACTTAAAATTGGAAAAGACCAGAAAACCCTGGAACAGGAAGATAGCAAGTCACAGAAAACACATGCTTCTTCATTCTGGAATGGCCAATCTAAGAAGAAACGCAGCTCTAGGGATGGTGCTCCATGTGCCCGGTCCTCTGCCCAAATGCCCAGAGGCACCCCGGCAGGCAGTAGTGCAAAGGAAGCCAGTCCCCACCCTGCACCTACTGGAGATCCAGTGTGTTGGATGCTTCCTGTCTCATGGACTCCTTCTGGAGGTGGAAGAGGTATACTGCAATGGCTGAAAGGAGCACAGCCTTTGTTCTAAGACTGCAGGACCGTCAACTCTGTGGCTTTGGGCTCACACTTTAACCTTTGTGCCTCCATTTCCTCACCAGTAAAGCAGGCATAAAACACCTTGTAAGATGGTTCTGAAGGCTTAAATCAGGTAAGCTAGGTCAACTGCTTGGCTGGACGGCCTGTGCATGCTCACAGACATCACCGCCATCATTACCGCCATCGCCATCCTTCCACCTTCCCACATCCCCTTTCCAGCAACTTCTTATTAACCATCTATGGGGGTGTCAGGGCGTCCATGGGGAACTTCTCTCCATCTATTATCTTCTTTGTAGTGAGCTCTAACTATTCATTCACCCATTAATATATCTTCCCAATTGAGGAACTGCACACACTTCCCAGGGAATCTCATGGAAGACGTTCTCCTGAGCTATTTCCTGAGCTCCACAAGACTCTGGCACACGCACTGGCTCATCCTCCAGATCCTGGGGCTTGTTTTCGGATGAGCTGTGATGGCGTGCTGCCTCTGCCAGTCCTGGCGTTTCTCGTCCCCTCCTTGGCAGTTTTCTCCATGTTGAGATGGCGGATGTGTCTGTATTTGCTCACTGACTGCCAGAAGCCAGCTGTGACACTTAACTGTTCCCCACGTCTCTCCTCCTTTCTGTCCCCATCCCCAAGTGTCGAGAACATGGCTTCTGAAAAACACATCACAGCGGTCAAAATGGCTCTGCCTGAGAAAGGCATCCTGAGACTCACTGTTAGCTACTTTTCAGATGATGGGACTCAGCAGGAACCTGAGTCCATTCTCAGCCCCTGGTCTATCAGCACCTGCTCTCTCTTCCTTTCACTATTTTCCTCAAAGCATATCAAGACACCTCAAGGCCAACGCCTTGCAGCCAATCCACCCCACCTGATGTACTGAAATGCTGCCAAACTCCAGCTAGGTCAAAGACTTAAGAACCACACATTTGAAATCAGCTTCTTGCTGACTGATGTCTCACTAGAAGAGGCAGTTTCAATATGCACTGCTTAGAGGCAAGTTAGACAGGTTTAGGGTCTTCAGGCTGCTGTGATAAGGTGCCTAGGACTTTAGGAATCTGGGTCCCCAACACCCACTGGCCAACTATATTCTCTGAAGTTACAGAGCGACTCTAAAATGTTCAGACTTTAGCAAGAAAGCAACACTCATACGTAAGAACAGCCAAACCGAGCAGTACCGCTCATTACAGATGTAATGATCTAATCTGATAATGCAATCTTGGAAATCTTTAGAAAAAAAGTCTGAGGCACAGGACAAACTTCCCTGCTCATGATGTCACCCCTCAGCATTTCTCTAACTTCCCTCTTGATATGGAACTTCCTTCATTTTTTTACAACTTCTAAAATTAACCTGGGAGCTCCAACGGCTGCCTTTGGAGAGCAGCCCTGGCTAGCTCTGGCAGAGGCCATAAGCCGAGCAGCAGGTGACTCCTATAATCTGTCCTTTTCCTGAAGGCGCCCTTCCTACCCACTGGCTTGGAAGCAGGCTGGGGAGTGGGGAGCTGGCGTGGCAGGACACAGTCTGTTTCCTGGTTGCTTTTTTTGTGCTGCACCCCAGTGCCAGGAGGGGTGCAGAACACCGTCTCTCCCTCCCCCACCCCCGGGTCATTTTGTTGTTTTGTTTATTATCTAGAGTTGTCTCTGGGAACGTTCCAACCAGGGATTATATAAGCCTTTGAAGATGAGTAATGGTGATCTGGCTTCTCCTACTTAATAACAATTCCTCCACGGGGGTTCAAGATGACTCACAGGGTTTGTCACAGGAGAGCTGCAAGCAGATGCTTAAGGAGATGCCAGAAGCTGAAATCAGTCTACATGGTCACTTTTCGGGGGCAGGTGGGATAGGTGGGTGGATTTGACTCAAAGCATAATCCAGAGCTCAGAGGATAATGAACCTGCCGGGCTCTACACTGACTTCTGCAAGGAGCCTCCCAGGGAGCAAGTGGGACTCTGAGGACTCTCCTTACAGAATGTGTCCCATGCTGCAAACTGGCAAAGTCTGAAAAAGCTAATGTCACATGCGCTGCGCGTGCTGCCAGGGGGACAAACTGTTGGAGCTGAGTTTTTATTAGCGACACTCTGCTGCCTTATTGAAAGGGAAGCATCAGACTACAATGAGAGGTGGCGGGACCCTCTGGGACTTCAGCTCCAGCAGTCCAGGATGTAGGGGGCTCCCCTGGGCAGTTTGGACCCCTTGGGGAGAAAGAAGCTTGCAGACAGGGGTTCTCACCAGCTTCTTGAGCAGCTCACTTTGTACGACCTACTCAGCCTCAGACCCTGGACGGTGGCCAGCCTGCCAGCCCCGAGCTGGCTCTGCAGATGCTGAGCAAGGGAAGGAGGAGAGGGAGAGCTCTAAGTGGCTGCCATCTGGTGACCTGAAGTGGAGTGGCTACAAAGGGTGATGACAAAGGAAAAACCTTTCAAGGCACCCAGGCTGGCCTCCAACTGCTGGGAGGGAACCGCAGAGACCACGATGGTAGCTCCCACTCAGACAGGGCCTCGGGCAGCTGAGAGGTGAAAATGGGGGCTATAAATAGCACTTCATCAGGAGGCTCTACAGACAGTCCTGCCGCACAGCAGCCCGGGGGATCCAGGCAGGCTCTGGGCAGGCTAGAAACACGGGGAGCTCTCAGAGCCATGGGCAGGGGCAGGAGTCCCGAACCTGGGAAAGGCCTCTATGCAGGCCGCGCCCAGGGCCCCACGGCTGGCCACTGCCTCTACACATTTTGCCCAGGCTCACTTTTTCTAGGCCTGGCTCAACACTGGCAGGGTGGGGAATGGTGGCTTTGTTGTTCTAGCTCTGTCACCCTTCACCTAAAGGAGGCAAAGTACTGCCTCAGGCCTCAAGGCAAGATCCAAAGGAGGCAGCAAAGGAAAGGGGAGGAGGGCATAGGTGTGGGCGAGGAAGAGCTGGCTGAACGCTGTGGTCCATTGCTGAAGCCAGTTACCCCTCGCAGTGTCTTGGGGAGGTCGAGGAGGGGCCACCTGGCTGTCTGGATGTCTCTTCACTCCCTTCCTACAGAGCACAAGCTCCCACCTCTAAGGGCTTTACTGTCCATCTGCCCACCCCTCAGGCTTACACTTGACCTCCTCGAGGTCAGGCGGGAATACAAGGGTGAATACAAGGGTGAATACAAGGGTGGTGTCCCTAGCTCTCTGAGCAGCTTCTGCAGAGTATCTCTCGCTATGACCTTTGCAGGCATCCTGGTTCTTCCCGTCTAGAGGGCCTTGGAGCCCCCACATGGCCTAGGCCTTCCTGAAGGCTGAGGATGGACTCTTCCCACAGTGGAAATAGCCAAGGCTTTCTAAGAAAGCTTTCTAAGAATGTTCCTAAACCTTTCAAACAGGAATGCTAAGCCTTTAAAAATCAAACTCGGCATTCCAACAGAGAGGCCTATGGCTTACAGAGAAGCCTGTAGTTGGAGGGTTACTGGGAGGTCGAGGAAAGATTGCCCCTTAGCCAAGACAACACTCAACCCCCCAGTTAACCAGGAGCACCCCTTTCCTTTCCCACCTCTAGTCACAGATCCAGTAACACTGGCCTTTCACAGAAGACGCTGAGCATCTGAGAATGTTCCCTCAATCCCACTGCGTTTTCCAGAATCTCCATTGCACCTCTCGTTCCCAGCAAGCAGTTCATTAGAAGTGTTTATCTTTAAAGTAGAGTGGTGGGGTGCTAGGGGAAGGGGCCTGAACCTCACACTGGTTCTGATGACATCAATGTTTCCACTAGGATGGGTTATGCAACTTGATATTAGAAACCATTTCAGCCTCTAACCTGATTACAATCTGGGCTGTAATTTTTCTACAATGCCTCCTGAGAACGGAGGTTTTTAAGTATATATTTCTCTGAAACACAAAACATCACTCAAAAGCCATGTTTCAGGTTAATGGCTATAGTACGTCAGTTACACATCTGCCTAGACGTGGGGTCTGCTGGTCAGAGGGACAGGAATGCTGGTAGTCAGATTCAGCAAGGGCAGAATGGGAGTTGTGCACCTTCAGGAGCAGAAAAGGGCGACCCCAGGCAGAAGACCAGGTCTCTCTGAGAATGCCTGGCTGTGTCTCTTGGGTCTTTAAAAAGGAACAAAGAAGAACAGAGTCCAATTTCTTAAAGCTGTCAGGAAGGCCGGGAGAAGCAGAGAGCGATGAAAGATGGTTTGAATCCCTGCATCAGTCCATAATGACACCTATTAAGGGCTTGGGTTGGACCATTCCTGAGGACAACACTGTACTCTAAAAGTGGGGCATTCCCATTGCTCAGGAGGCCACAAGGCCTTCAGGAGGCAGAAGAACCAGTCACAGGAATGAGATAGGTCCCTATGACAAGCTGGGTAGATCCTAGTGACCAGATCTGTCTGCTAGGTGTGGGATGTGGGCCTGAGTCAGGAGAAAGAAGGAGCAATATCTTCACTTAAGGTCATTTTCATGGAAGGAGACTTCCAGAACTCAGTAGTCTAGCTCCAAAGATATGAATAAACCTTGGGTGGTAGGTAGAAGTGAAGTCCAAGTAAAGAAAAGAGTTGTCTCAAACTTGACATTGTTCAATGGCCAAGAGAAGGTGAAGACAAGAACCCTGCTTGGCTAAATCAAGGAGTATCGTGGCCTCATTTTCAAGGTTAGTCCAAGATTGAACAGGCCAGACTTTTCAAAATGGCAGCCTGGCATTAATGAGGTCCTGGAAAGGAATGTCTAAACATGGGTATTGCTTAGCACCAACATGGTAAGCTGGCTTCAAGGAGCATCTCCTACCAACTCACAGGAACAATTCCTACAGGAGAAAGGAAGTTCTCCCCACCGGGATTCATGATGGAGCCTGTTTCTCTCTCCCCAGGTTGTAAGCCCTGAAATTCTATCAGAACTTTCTCATGTGTGCATTCATCCACACATGCTCGTGGCCACATGTCTGCACATTTATGCATGTAACCAGGCACTGCTATAGTTTGTAAACTGATGACAAGGGAAGGTTTGCTTCAGCATTAGTTCCTCCTATGGCCTGGGATATAAATGAGAAGGATAAGTTCAGAAACTATGGTGCTGTAGGCTATAGAAATATCTACTCACAACCTGCTTGTATCTCAGGGGGAGTATTCAAAAGCATCATGGCACTGGCAGCATCAATGTCAGGATCTGGAAAAATCAACCAATAAATAACATTATTTACAACGGGGCCGGTGTGTGTGTGTGTGTTTTTATCCCTGTAAGTTACCGTTTATGAATGCAACAGAGGAAAAAAAAAAAGAAGAAGAAGAAGAAGAAATCTGGGAACTAGATGAGCTGTCCCAAAGGTGACTTTCTTACCATTTGGATTTGAGAGGAAGAAAACATATTCTAGAAGGAGATTTAAGAAGCATGTTAGTAGCTTTTTCCCCCTAACCAGATGAGAACAGTCTCTTCTCATTTTGCTAATGTCATCATTTGCACTGTATGTTCCTGTAAGTTGCTGATCTGTGCTTTCCCTCAGCCTTTACCCTGCGGTGGAGGAGCAGGGGAGGCAGTGACAATGGGAAGTTCAGCCACAGGAATCTTTATGAACTGGGGAAAGCTCACAGCATTGAGAGAAAGCATTAAATACACCTGCATCAACTGAGATACAAACAAGACATTTGGTCATTTCCACTGTCAGCAGAATACAAATGACAATTTACGAGGTGTTGTGTGTGTACCGTGGTGGTGGAGGCATTAAAAAAAAGCACTTAAAATATAAAGAAAAAATGTAAAGTTCTGATGTTGAGGGCTCAGTGCTTGTTTCTACATCTATTATTGCTTTTAATACGGGCCAAAAAAACCCCCATTATTTTATTGCTATAATTCTTAATAGGTTTCCGAATCCTTACCGATCCACCAGTTGACAGATGGCAGGTTATACAGAGACAGAGAAAAATATTATCCTTTTATAACTAAATTCATTTTCCTCTGAGAAACAGCAGCGCTGCTGCTATGGAAATGAAGGTCACCATGGCAACAGTAAACAACCCCCAAGAATGGTCACTGAATAGGCTGAAAAGAACATCTGCCCCAGCACAGCGTCCCAGCTGCCCTGGGGCGAAATTCGCTAATAGTGCGGTGATGCCCCGTGACAGAAGCTGCCGCCTGTGCCCTGTCCAAATAAATGAAGTGTGCAATTGAAGTCGACATCAAAATGCCTGCCCTTGCAGATTACCGCCTCCATGTCCGCTAAACCCGGTGACTAATGATGGGGGAGACGGGGGGGCTCGCGCTTGTCAGTTTTTGCACAAATTACATACCAAAAAATTCAATTTACTACTAATGGCTCCATGGCACTTTATTTTGGGTATTATGTGAGAAAATTACTTTTTTTTTTTACTGTTTTAAAAAGTACATTTTTCATACTTTATATGTGCAGTTTAATTCCAAGGGAGTAATGCGATGCAGTATAAAGACCCACGAGCGATTAATAATAGGAATGATGCTGGTTTCAGAAGACAATGTCTCAAAAAGAAGTAAAGGAACTTTACTCTGCAGGCCTTTTATTTTTTTTTAACTTTGCCTGCAGGAAGCCTGTTAGTTATACTCCATAATGCAGTAAAAGTTCATTTTAATAAGTATATATTGTGTGAGAAACAGGTAAATAAACTTATTTGGCAACTCCTGAGGTGAGATTCCTAAAACAGTCATCCCTCCGGACTAAAAGAAACACCCCCACATGCATACATGTATGTACAGGCACATATACACATACACAGAATGATTAATCGAAAAGCTCCAAGTTCTGCTCACTGCTCCCAGGCTCCCACTGCCCGGCTCCCTTCACCTCCCTACAGGTCCTGCTGTTAGTAGTGTTGCTGGCACCCATGAGCCCAGAGAGACAAGCTCTGTGGCTTCCTCCTCCTATCCCTCCTTTCACAAAGGAGCCAAGAAAACAAGCTGTTGCTTCTCACCAAACAATGGTTCTGTGCCTTCTCTGAGAATTCAAATGCGACAGGTGACCTACCATTGGCCTGAGTAGATGGTCTCACCTCCCAGGGAGACCAGGAAGTTTCCCAGCTAAGAGGAAATGCACTGAGACGTCAGGAACCTTTCCTATTAATTTTGCTAGTAAATGAAAGCTCTGTATTCTTCAAAAACACACTGGACCACAGTCTGAGGGCCACAGATTAACAGAAGTCATGATGCAAGAAAGAGAACCTAAAAGAAGAGGACCATCAACATTCACAGGATTTCAGGAGAACTGAAGCTTGGGGAGCCTGTCAGACCCACACAACAACCCTCTATGTCACCTGCACCACCCAAGCCAAGCCAGGCAGATACACGAGTAGACAAGTACAGGTTGCTGGAAGATAAACTCCATCTTTCCTTCTAACCAGATATGCCATGCCCCAGGGCTCCACAGAGAACAATACTAATGCCGCCATGATACTCAGGCCAGTCTCCAGGCACACGGGTAAGTGGAGCACACAGTGTTCTCAAGGTCTGATTCCTGGTGCATTCCTACAGCCCTACCTTCTACGCTGAAAGTCCTAAGAAGCCTGAGGAAGAGAATGGAATGGAGGGCAGGGTTTGGGATTCTTGCCCCTGGACCTCTTGGCAAGCAAACTGACAAATGAGGACTGCATGGGTGGTGTGTGATCACGCACACCCGCCCTAAGTGCCAGCTCTACCCCAGGGGATACAGTGAGGGCCATTCTTAAGCGGGGGAAGAAAAAAAAAAAAAGGTTTCTTTAGTGATGAATTACATCAGTAAAATACACCCATTTCAAGTGCACAGCTAATAAATTCTGACAAATTTTATACTACCATAATCAAGATTAAGAACACAACAAAGATACACATTTCCATCATCCCAAAAAGTTTCCTGGTACCCTATTACAAACACACCTGTCCCTGCTCCAGGCAAACCACTACTTTGCTCTCTGTTACTTACCTACTATATGATGTCACTAGTTCATTTCTTACAATTATCATTAGTAGTATTTCACTGAATGGACATACCACAGTTGGTTTATCCAGCCACCTATGGATGGACATTTGACTTGTTTCCAGGTATTTTAAAAAGCTGCTATGAATTTTTGTACCAGGCTTCCAGGGCATGTTTTCTTGAGTAACTGTTGTGAGAGTATGTTTACAGGGAATTGCTAAACCATGCTCTGTGCAAAATAAGAGGTTATAGTTTTTCAACATTTTTGCTAACACTTGAAATTGTCGATCTTCAAAAATTTTCACCATCTAGTGAATGTGCAATAGAATTAACTGTGTTTAAGTTTGTACTTCCCTGATAACAAGTTATATTGAGCATCTTTTTATGTGCTCAGCAGTCATTTGTGCATCTTCTAACAGGAAAAGTTGGCTCAAGACTTTTGCCCATTTTTTTAAATTAAGTTGTTCAATTTTTTTTTTTTTTTTTTTTGGCTATGTGGCATCTTTTGTTTTCATTTGGTAGTGAACTTAATATAATATTATCTGGGTTCAATACCCACATTTACAGATAAATGAAAATGGAGTAATCAACAGACCTCTTTCCTCAACCAGTAAGCTAAGCACTGACTTTCTAGATCTGTTTAGGTCAATACCAGAAGGTCTTTATTTAGCTCCTGGTGTGACATACCTGTATGCTGGTCCCCACCCTGACACCCTCTGTGTGCCGTAGTCCTCAGAGTAGACAACCTCCCTTCTCTCCTACCCAGAGTTGTTATAATGCTTATTATTACATATTATTAAAAGGCCCAAGTTTCTACTCCCCCTTTTAACGGTCATGAAAATAATGCATGTTAAACATGAAGAAATATATTCCAGGTGGATATTACTTGAGAAATACATGCCTTCTCTATGGACCCACTTCCAGACTCATATTTTCTTCTATATATGTCCAAAAATTGTCTATGTAAGAACAAGCATTTCTGTATAGTCACTGGAATGCCAGCACACATGGACTTATACTCAGGCACACAAATCTATTTTTTAGAAATCAGGTTTACAATAGTTCCCCCTCAGCTATGGTTTTGCTAAGCTTTGGTTTCCCATCATTTGGAATTCCTGAATGGACAATCCCAGAAGAAAATAACTCATGTCTTTTATTAGAGTACATTCTTATAATTATTCCATTTTGGTTTTAGCTATTGTTGTTAATCTTTTATAGTGATTAGCTTATAAATTAAATTCTGTCATTGGTATGTTTAGGGGAAAATATACACAGGAGCCAGTACATCTGTGGTTTTAGTCATCCATTTGGGATCATGGATGCCTTGAGATTAAGGGGAAACTACTGTATATGGAAAACAGTTTTCTGAAATTTCTTTAAAATCATTTTCACTTCAGCTTGGCACAGTGGCACACACCTACAATCCCCATGACTTGGGAGGCTGAAGTAGGAAGATCCCAAGTTTGAAGCCAGCCTTAGCAACCAAGCGACTCTGTGTCAAAAAAAAAAAAGAAAAAAAAGGTGGCAGGGGGTAGGGTGCTGATGTATATATACAACAAATGTTGGCAAACCTTTCATATTAGTATAATTATCTAAAGTTTTTCTAGGGTGCTGCCTTACGGCGTTTGCCAACCCTAGCTCATGGATCTTTTCTTTAGATGGTAGATTTACCAAAAGGCAGAAACAAAAATTTGAGTTGGTTGTGGAACCGGGGGCCAAATACACTGCTCTCCCACAGACCTGGGACCCCTGAAGACCAGCCTCTACCAGTCCTTCTAGCTGCTTCTTTCATCCCTCCTATGAAGACCAGCATGGCCCCAGCTCTCTCCTCTGCCCTCCACTGCCCCTCTCTCTGGGGCTCAGTCCCACTGTCCACCTTGGGTCATAAACTGTTGTCATGAGCACACTCTGGGTCTTCCTAAAAACCTCTCTGACCAGGAGAGCCTAGTGAAGGTTTTCCTCTTTGGGTAGCAGGGGTACATTCTGATAGAAGCCTCCCTTTTACAGAGAATATTTGTTTTGCAGTTTCTTGGCCAGAGTCATTTTTTGGGGACAGAGGAGCTGTCTGGGCATGGGGGATGCTTCTGCCTCACAGTCATGGCTGATTCTGAAAGGCTATCCACCTAGGGGAGGGCAGTGATGGACTAAAGGATTTTTCCTGGCTTAAAGGGTGGTCCACCAGCCACCTCTCCAGATGGTTCAACCTGGTTTAGGATTAAAAAAAAAAAGGGGGTATTTCATCCAAGAACTC